CATTGGAAACGCCAGGGCAGCAGGAATCGCTTCCTCCTCCGCGGGAAGGGAGCAAACAGCAGCGGCACAGCCGTCCCGGGAGCCGGTGTCAGCCCGGCCCGCGGCAGGGACACGGATCCCGGGATGCCGGGAGCTGCCGGCTGGCTGGGCACGGCCGTGCTGGGGAGGGAGGCCGACAGCGCACACGGACAATGGGGGGTCAGCGAGGTTAAACGGTGACTAATTCGCCCATTCAGCGTCCCCTCCGCCGCTCGGGGACACCCGCCGTGCCGTGACACCCGCCGTGCCGTGACACCGCCCCCAGACCCCCAGGGTCACCCACATGATTCCTTCCCCCAGCCTGAGTGGGGAGGAGGTGGGCATCGGGGTCCGGGTGGTCTCGGGGATCCCCAGACTGCCGTGCCGATGGATCGGGATTGTCACCGATGGATCCTGTGCCCACCGGGTCCCCCGGCCCGAGGAGGAGGCACTGGGTCAAACAGGCACCTGCGCTCGGGCCGTGTCCCCTGAAGAGGGGACAATGCTGGGAACTGGTGTGAACAATGGTGCCGACGGGAAGCTCCCGGACCCCTCCCCAGCTGCCCCCGCGGAAGCGGCCCCCCAGCCCGGCCATGCTCCGGCGGCAGGAATCCCGCCGGGCCGGTCAGTGGAGTCACCGGCCATGTGGGCGAGGCTCCAGCCAGCACATCCCCCACCAGCAAAGCGCTGGGAGATTTTTGGGGAGGGGGCACACACCTCCCTGCCCCCAGCAGCCCCTTCCCACGGGGGGTTGTGCCCTGGGGGGCTCGCAGGGGGATTAGGGATGGGGACAGCCAGGGGTGAGCTGTACCTAAGCCGAGCGCTTTATCTGCGTAGGAATCTGCTCCGGGGCTGGACGCTCCCTTTGCCCTTCACCGGGAGGGATTGGCCCCAGCAAACCCCGCACCCCACGCCGGGGGGGCTGTGCCTGGAGAGGGGCTGCTCCCTCGGGCACCCCCCAGCCCTGAGTCAGCCATCGCCTTACGGGAAATCACATCCCCAGCGCCTCCGAAACGTCAATCCTTGGCTCTGGTTTTTACAAATGACTTTCTTATTCTGAATAAGTGCCCTCTGCGACCCCACTGCGGGTCCCGGCGTGCCAGAGGCCGGGGGCTGTGTATGGGCTGGGAGTGGGACGGGAAACGCGCCATAAATGTGTTTATTCTTCGTTAAAGAACTCGTTAGTGTGCGAGGGCTCTTCCCCAGCCCAGCGTGGCCCCTCGCTGTCCGCGGGACAAAGGGATGCATCCCCGGGGGCTGCCAGAGGAAGGAAGGAAAGAAAAGGAGAGAAGTAGCCCCTCAAGCCTGTCACTGCTGGTCCTGCTACCTGCCCAGACAGGGTGGGCTCTCCCCGCCGCTGCCTGCGTTGTGTTTTTTCCTTAAATACAGGAATTTGGGGGAGTTTAGTCCCTGGAAGGTGGAGGCTGCCACCAGCCCCCATCCCTGCTGCGGTGGCCCTTGGCTCTGCCCCCAGTCCTCACGTCACGGTGTGCACGTCCCAAACCGGTTTTGGAGAGAAGGAGGAAAACCGAGAGTGTTGCCACTTCCTGGCAATGGAAAAGAAACTTGAAAATTAATCCCCGGGGCCTGAAAACCCGGAACCAAGCGGGGACGGGGTGGGGGGGGAAGGGGAGGTGTTTTTAACTGGGACGTGGGATGCAGGGACACGGACTCCTCCATGAGGGCTCATGGGGTAGACAAGGGACTCCTGCCGAAGGGGGGATTTGCCTGGCACCAGCATGACCCCCGGCATTCCCGGAGCCTTGTGAAATACTGCTTCCCCTCCTGCTTGTAGTTGCCCCCCTTGCCCCAGCTCGGGGGGGTTTGGGGAGGGTTCGGACCCCCAGCACGCACCCAGCCCGTGCCGAGGGCTCTCCCGCATTCCTGGCATTGCCAAGGGGCCGCCTCCTGCCTGCCCTTTGAAAGCCAGCGGGTCGGGATTTTCCTGTAATCTGGTTTGAAACATTAATCCGGTCATCCACACCAAACGCCGGGCCGGCATCCTGCCGGGGCGCTGGGCCGGGGTCAGGGCCACCCGCCCACCGCCTGCCTAATTCCTCCTCCACTTAATTATAGATCTGCTGGCAACGGCCATCTGGCTCCGTGTCCTCAGCCGGCCGGGGGCCGGGGCCGAGGGGGCTGCGCTGCAGCCAGGTGGGCTGGACGCTGTGGCCAGAGCCACTGCCATCAAGCATTCACTCTGGGGTGGGTCAGCACTGGGAGCACTGGGTGCTGGAGTCACATCTCCCAGCCCAGGGGACTCTCAGGGAGGTGGGGGGCATCTCCTGCTCCCCCCAGCCAGGCTGGGGTGGCTGTGCCGCTGTGTCCCCTGCCACCACATTCTGCCGTGGGGACCCCACGGTAAGAGGATATTCCTGGGGCAGCTGCGTTATGGATTAAGTCGTTTCCAGCTCCCTAATTACGAAACATAAATGTATTGACTCAGTGGCACCGGGCGGCCTTGCCTGCGGCTCGTGCACGCCGGTACCTTTGCACCGAGCACCGAGACACTGCGTGTCCCTGCGAGGAGCTGGCCTTGAGCTGAGCAGAAACCAGGGCTGAGAGCAGGAAGCAGGGCACAGGCACGGGGCAGGGATCAGCACCAAGCAGGCACAAGACTCAGCACCTGCTGATTTCGGTGCGGCAGTGCCGGCAGCCGCCAGCCTGTGCCAAGCTCAGCTGCGCACTGGGTTTCGCACGCTGCCAAAACCAGAACGTTTCTGTTCCCCAATTTGCATTCTGAGCCCCGCTGTCCCAGCTGTCCTGCTCTGCCGTTGGGGCTCTCGGGGCGCCGGCTGCTTTGCCGTTGGCTGCGGATGGCGTCAATGCAAGGAAATCCTGCGAGGGGCAGCTGGGAGTCACTCGTCTCTGTCCCCTTCCGTGTCCTGCCTGTGCTCGGGGTCGAGGGGGAACAGGGGTGGTAAGGGAGGACAGGGGCAGCTTGGCAAATGCACTCTTTCACACGCCACAGTGCACACAAGGCACGTCCCGGCCATGGCTGGGCATGTCCTCGCCCCACAGTGCTGCCGGATGAGCACCTTGGGCACGTGCCCATCACTGGCGGTTGGTTCTGCTGGCCGTGGCAGAGCTAAACCATGGTTTGGGGGGGTCCCATAGGGGAGCCTGTTTCTCTGCTTGGCACTGCAGTGGTCAGTGAGCAGCTGCCAAGTGCAGCAAAGCTGTCGAAGTCTCGCCGGTAACCGTCAGCAGCAGCTCGTGCAACATCCTTTGCCCGGCAGCCGTGGCAGGTGTGAGGTCACCGGGCAAGAACGGGGATCCCTCTGCCCACCATCCCTGGGGACCCCCATGGCTTCATCCCACTTGGGCAGGGGTGAGAGTGGCTGCAGCCAGCTGAGCTTGGCATGGGACCACCGGGGCTGGTGGAAGGCCGGCACTCGAGGCAGCCACCTGCCACGGCCACTAATCCCCCTGTCCTGGCCGGCCACGCTCTCCTCAGCTGACGGTTAATTTTCTTTCATCCTCTTAAACGCGTCCATTCCCCTCGGGACTGAGTCCGAGGAGGGCTGGATCATGACCCCGAGGGTCTTGGCAGTGGATGAACCAGAGTGTTCGGTTCTTTCCCAGGATAGCTCCGCACCACGGAGGATCGGGCGCTGGGGAAGCCCTTTCTCTGTGTGTGGCTTTTTGGAGCTGCTCAAGGAAACGGGGGAGGCTGGATTGGCACCAGCCCAGCATCCCTCAGCTGGCACAAGTAGCCCAGTGCAGCTCAGCCCCAAAAATCATGGCACTGCTGCTGTGCCATGGCTCACTCCCTCCATGGCACTCCCACACCAGACCCCTTGCTAGGGTGGGAGAGGGGCTTTGAGGGCCTCTGCCGGTAGTCCTGGTGGCTCCTGCCCTTGCCCTGGGGGTGTGCAAGAGGCTGGACGAGCCTGCCGAGTTTCCCAGAGGAACTGGGGGGGTTTATGGCCCCGCTTATCACGCGGCCCCATTGATCCCTTTGATCGGCGCCGGCGGGTGAGTCCAGCCCTGCAGGATCCGGATCCTCCCTGCAGGGCTGCAGGAGGAGGGGGCTCGAGCCAGGACGATGCCCACCCATCCACCTGCCCACGGTCCTGGTGCCACAGGGCATAGCCAGGGAGGGAGTGGGCACATGGGTGACCCAGTGACCGGCAGGGGTGGTCCCGCAGTGCGTGCCTGGCGTATTAGGGGGGTATTTATAGGCCCCTCCCGGCCCCCCTGGCAGTTGTTCAGAGCTGTCATTGAGAAAAGCAGAGCTGTGGCCGCCACCACGTTGGTGTCTGGGCAACGCCTGCCCCCACAGCCCTTGCTCCTGGATGGAGGGGGGATTATCCACCAGCCTCCAGGCAGAAACAGCGCTGGGCTTCGGGAGAGGCCGCACGGCGTGGCGTGGTGTGTGCCTCCGGCGTGCCGGGCGCTCCAACCGGCCGATCCTGCGCCATAAATCAGGCAGGAATGTGCCGGGGTGGGGGGTCTCGGCTGAAGATGCCCCAAGCAGAGCTGGTGATTGAGGTACAGCGTGTCAGAGCCTGGCCCAGCTCTGCCTTCCCCTGTGCAGGACACGTCCCTGCAGGGCCATGGCACACTGGCTCCTGGCCATGGCTCTCTGTGGCAGCACCCCAAGCGTGGAGGGACCACGCTGAAGAGTCGCTGTGCTGAGCAGGCAGTGGATGCTAAAAATAACCGGGGTCAGCGTTCCCGGGAGGAGCCGGGGCCGAGCACGGTGTTGGCAGCCTGGTAGCCACTCTGGCCATGATCACGGTGTTGGCAGCACCGGCATCCCGGAGCTGAGCTCCGAGCAGGGCTGGCAGGGCATGGCATAGTGGGGCACAAGGTCATCCCAAGCTGCAGGAACCCCCCTGGACCTCTGCAGGGACCCCCGAGCCATTTGGTGTCCTTTGAGCCACACGGCTGCTGCTGCTGCAGTGGGAGCCAGGGGTCTCAGGTCGGGGGACACACGGGTTAAGTGGGATTCTGAGCATCTCTCTCTCCTTATGCAGCTGTACGAGCTGGATGGTGACCCCAGGAGGAAGGAGTTCCTGGATGACCTCTTCAGCTTCATGCAGAAGCGAGGTGAGTACCCAGCTGGGCACTCACCCTGTGCCCCCGCGCCCACTCTGTGCCCACCCTGCTCCACCACACCCACCTTGCACCCCCATGTCCCCCCCAAGGCCAGGGGCTCATTTCCTTGCCCCTCATTAGTGCCCTGAGGTCACGGCTCCGGCTGAGCTGCTGGTTAATCTTTAACCCCTCAGCACAGCAGGGTCAAACCTGCTGGGCTGGATCCAGAGCCTGTGGCCCCCCCTCCCTTCACCCATCGCACCCAGACCTGCAGCCCCTCCCCACACAACACCCCTGGCCGTGTGCCCCCTCTGCCCATTGCCTGGCTTACTGCAGCCCCTCGCTGTGCCCTCTCTCTGCTGGGGGAGAGGCCATGGCTGGGGGGCTGGGGGTGAGAAGGGCTGAAAGCCAAGCGTGCTCCTGCTCGAGGGTCTGGTTCCTGCGTGGAAAACAGCGCTGGAAGTGCTGACACAGGGCTGGCTCCGGCCCTTTGTCAGACAGCTCTGGGAAGGCACGTGTGCCTGCACAGGGGGGCTGGGGCTGCTGGCTGGGTTCCCCCAGATTCCCCTGGCTCTGTCCTCTCCCCTGGCTATGTCCCCTATGGTCCCCCCACCATCCTGGCCCACCTACATCCACTGGGGTCTCCCAGAGCCCCCTCACCTCAGGGCTGGGAGGGTGGAGACCCTGATTAGGGAGCAGGTGCTGCCAGCCCCCTCCCCAAGCTGGAGGGACGAGCCCCCCAGCTCATAGGAGACCCTCACGGCCGGATTGTGCCGCCCCCGTTATAAATAACTCGCGTTGCCGGGTGCCGGCTCAGCCCGAGGAACCGGCTCAGCCACGACGGGGCTGTGGCTGGAAACTGCGAGTTTCTGTTTCCTTTGTTCGGGGCTGATCTCAGCGGGAGGGCCCGGGGGGAAGAAGGGGACAGTGGAAGAGGAGGGAGCAGCATGAGCCCCCCAGCCCCTCCACTGCCCCGCAGGGGTCTCAGCAGCTGCGCCCCCACTTCGGGTAAGAAAGCAGCACCCCAGAGCCACTCTCTCCTCCTGCCGCTCCCCAGGGACCCCCGTGAACCGGATCCCCATCATGGCCAAGCAGGTGCTGGACCTGTACATGCTGTACACGCTGGTGACCGAGAAGGGCGGTCTGGTGGAGGTCATCAACAAGAAGCTGTGGCGGGAGATCACCAAGGGGCTGAGCCTGCCCACCTCCATCACCAGCGCGGCCTTCACCCTGCGCACCCAGTGAGCGGGGGCTGGGAGGGGATGGGAGGGGAGGGGAGGGGGCGAGTCCTTGGGGGTCCCTCTGCCCTGTGCGGGGCATGGAGGCTCAGCACAGCCCTGTGTGGGAGCAGTGGGGTGGCACAGGGGAAGGGGTGCCCAAGCCACCGTGTCACCCTCACCATCCCCACCCGTGTCCCGTGTGGCCGCAGGTACATGAAGTACCTGTACCCCTACGAGTGTGAGAAGCGTGGGCTGAGCAACCCCAACGAGCTGCAGGCGGCCATCGACAGCAACCGGCGGGAGGGCCGGCGGCAGGGCTTCGGCGGCTCCCTCTTTGCCTACTCGCCCGGCGGCACCCACGGCCTCCTCTCCTCGCCCAAGCTGCCGGTGCCGGCGCTGGGGCTGGCGTCTGCCACCAACGGCGGGGCCATCACGCCCGGACAGAAGATCAAGAAAGGTAATGATTGTTCTGGGGTGTGCCTGCTCCAAGGTTTGGCTGCCACGGGGTCTGGTTGCAAGCCGAGCCCCCTCCTAACCACTGGAGATGTAATAATAACGGGGAGAGCTAGGGGAAGTGGGTAGGGGGGTGATGCTCCTCTCCCCCCTCCTTGGGCTCCAGGGCTCAGCCCGGGGACCCTGATTCCAATCACCCATCTCTGACCTTTGGAAGGACAGCAGGGCACCAAACTGTTGTGCCAGGGCTGGGGACACCCTGGGGTGGTGGCACCCCTGTGCCCCCATCCCTGACACCCGCTCCCCCGGCAGAGGAGGACTCTCCCATCCCCATCTCCATGCCCAGCCGGCTCCCGGTGTCACTGGCCGGGCACCCCGTGGTGGCGGCGCAGGCGGCCGCGGTGCAGGTGGCAGCAGCCGCCCAGGCCGCGGCGCTGGAGCAGCTGCGGGAGAAGCTGGAGTCGGGGGAACCCCCGGAGAAGAAGCTGGCGCTGGTGACGGACGAGCAGCAGCGGCTGATGCAGCGGGCGTTGCAGCAGAACCTCCTGGCCATGACGGCCCAGCTGCCCATGAGCATCCGCATCAACAGCCAGGGCACGCGCTCGCCAGGTCAGTGCCGGCCCCGGCCTCCCGCCCCGGCCGAGCCCCTGGCCCCGGCGGGCTCCGTAACGCGGCTCTCCCCGGCAGAGAACCGCCCGGACGCCGCTGCCGCCAGCAGCAACGGCACCAACAGCATCAGCATGTCGGTGGAGATCAACGGGATCGTCTACACGGGTGAGGGGCTCCCCCGGGCACCGCTGCCGTGGGTGGGGGGCTGCCCTGGGGCCACGCTCCTGCTGCTCTCCACCCCGTCTCACAGCAAAGCTCGGCTTTTCTCTCTCCCCAGGTGTGCTGTTCGCTCAGACGCCCGGCCCTTCCTCCTCCTCTTCCTCCTCCTCCTCCTCTGCCTACAGCAAAGGCAACGGCGGCAGCAGCCGGAGCAGCGGCGGCAGCGGGGTGGGGAGCGGCGGCGGCAGTGTGCCCCCCGCCCCGGCCGGCCTGGCCGTGCCCCCCAGCTCTACCTCCAACAGCGCTTCGCCTTAACGCCCCCGAGCCTCGGGCCCCTCGCGGCACCAGCGCCCGTGGGGGGACGGGGTCGCACCGGGGCTCACCGGGGTCTTCTGGGGTCTCGCCGGGGTCTCGCCCGAGGTCTTGCCAGGGTCTCTCTGGGGTCTCAACAGGATTTCACTGGGGTCTCACCAGGGTTTCATTGAGATCTCGCCTGGGTCTCACTGGGGTCTCACCAAGGGTCTCACCCGAGGTCTTGCCAGGGTCTCTGGGGTCTCAACAGGATTTCACTGGGGTCTCACCAGGGTTTCATTGAGATCTCACCTGGATCTCACCTGGGTCTCATTGAGATCTCACTAGGGTTTCATTGAGATCTCACCTGGGTCTCACTGGGGTCTCACCAAGGGTCTCACCCGAGGTCTTGCCAGGGTTTCTCCAGGGTCTTCTCAGGCTCTCGATGGACTCTGCCCTTGTTCTCGTGTTGTTGGATTTTCCTTTTCCAGGCAGAAAAGCTTTAGCCCGGGGGGTTTTGCCGGAGCCGCCGGCTGTCCGGCTGCGCCGCTCCGGGACCGTTTACCTCACTCACATCACACTTTGCACTGTACATTTATTATTATTATTATTATAATTATTGTTATTTTTTAACTCGTGTTACCTCCAGACAGACGCACGGACGCCTGCCGACGCGAGCTCTAGCGAAACCCCCCCGGAATTCTAAAGGAAAAAAAAAAAAACAACCAAAAATCCTAAAAAAAAAATTGGAAATAGGGAGATATTTTATTCATTTCCATCCTTTTCCCTCCTTTGTTTTGGGAACTCCACTCTCTGCAGGATTTTAAGAGGTTGTTTTCGATTGTTTTGTAAATAGCTTCTATTTTATTCTCTAAAAAAAGGAAAAAAAAAAAAGAATCAAACTTTTAACATGCAAATGATATATATTAGTCTTCATCAGGGAAAATGGGAGCTTGGAAAAAAATTGGAATCTCCTTTCTCCTCTCCTTATCGGTGGTTGGGTCCAGCTCTGCTCCTTCCCCCACCGGCAAATCCTAATTTTTATTCCTCCCCCCTGCATAAAACTACTGTTCAAAGCCACTTTGGGCTTATTTCCTCCAAAACCAAGCAGGATCCAGAGGATGGGGATGCTCGGAGCTGCAGGACGCTCCGGAGCTCACGGACAACCCGAAGGACCTGAGCATTTATTTTAAGCCTCACAATCTCAGTTGGGTTTTTTTTTTGTTTTGTTTTGTTTTTTTTTTTTTACTATTTCCCCCCCTCAAACACCCCCCCCCCCAAAAAAAAAAAAAAAGAGATAAATATTCACCCACATCTGCGTGAGACACAATCCAAGCCGATACCGAAACCCCCTCGCCCCCCTCGGTATCTCCGTTCTCAGGTTCCCACCTGGAGCACAGGGTTTTTCCCCCTTCCCCAGGTGCCCCCAGAGGGGGGGGAGGGGGTCCAGGCTGGTGGGACCTCCCCCCCCCACGCCCCCACACCTTTATTTTTAATTTCACTCGGGGAAGTGGCGATCTCAGGGGATTTGGGGTTCTTTTCCAGCTGTTTTTTTTGTTGTTTTCAGCCGGGTTTTGTTGGGGTTTTGTTTTTTCCGTGCTGGAATCCCCTTGGTGGCTCCATTGGGGGGGGGTCTTGGTGGCTCCGTGGACCCTTTTTTGGGGGGGCCTGGGAGGGTCCGTCCAGCTCCTGCTGCTGTTGGGGTCCAGCCCAGCTCCCCGTAAGGAGAAATTCCAAGGGGGAATTTTCATGCCCAGGGCAGGCTTAGATTTTCTTAGTGATTTTTTTTTGCATTGTACAGTCACTGTTTTGGGTTGTTTTGGGTTTTTTTTTTTTAATTATTTTCCCTCCCCTCCTTTCCCTGCCCCTCCCTTTATTTTTTGAGAGCGGGTGACTTTCCACTTTATTTTTCTTTTTTGCATATCGATTTAAAAATAATAAAAAAAGAGCCTAAATCAGTTTTTTTTTTTTGGGGGGGGGGCTTTGGAAAGAAAATTAAACAAAAGGAGCGGCCCCAGCTGCAGCCGCCCCCCTCCCCCCAGCGTTGCATATCTTAACTCAGGTAAAAAAGGAAAATGAGAAAATAAAAAAAACCACAAAAGACAAAAAAAAAGAAAAAAAAGGAATAAAAAAATAAACCACATTCTACCTCTGAGCGCGGCGGCCTCGGGCGCACCCGGGGCCCCGGTGAAAGATTTCAGTTTTGCAAAACATTCAGGTATTGAGACTTTTTGATTATTATTAAAAATTAAAAAAAAGAAGAGAAAATAAACTTAAAAAACACTGAAAGTTTACATTTTATAATAACATTATTATACAGATTGTATTTAAACGTCAGAATATTTAAGACAATTGTAACCCTGTAAAGTGAAGAAATATTAAAAGAAAAAAAAAAAGGTTGTGTTGTTTGGGGTTTCTTTCTCGGGGGGAGCCCAGGGGTGCCTACAGGGCTGTAGGGTATCTGTGGGATTTCCTTATGGATTTGGGGTATCCCTGTGGGACTGTGGGGTATCAATGGATCTGTGGGGTGGTGATAGGATTGTGAGATGTGCATGGGGTAAAAAAAATTAAAAAAAAGAAGAGAAAATAAACTTAAAAAACACTGAAAGTTTACATTTTATAATAACATTATTATACAGATTGTATTTAAACGTCAGAATATTTAAGACAATTGTAACCCTGTAAAGTGAAGAAATATTAAAAGAAAAAAAAAAAGGTTGTGTTGTTTGGGGTTTCTTTCTCGGGGGGAGCCCAGGGGTGCCTACAGGGCTGTAGGGTATCTGTGGGATTTCCTTATGGATTTGGGGTATCCCTGTGGGACTGTGGGGTATCAATGGATCTATGGGGTGGTGATAGGATTGTGAGATGTGCATGGGGTCTCTGTAGGGTTGTGGGGTGTCCAAAAGCACCCCCATAGCTGTGGGGTGCTCTTGGGGTTCCCGTGTGGTTCCTATAGGATTGTGGGGTGTCCATAGGATTGGGCAGTATCCAGGCCATCCTTAAGTTTTGTGGGGTGCTCATGGTGTTCTTATGAAGCTATGGGGTGCCTTTAGGATTGTGGGGTGTCCATGGCGTCCCTGTGGGGCTGTGGCGGTTTTGGGGTCTCCACAGGGTGCCCCCATAACCCTGTGGGGTGTCCACGGGGTCCCCATCTGCACACGCGGTACCCACAGTCACCCATCCAGCACCGACCGGGGCGGGCCCTGCTGAGCTTCCTGCCGCGTGCGCAGCTCCCGCCCCGCGCGGCCATCGCGGCGCCGCTGCTGATTGGTCGGCGCCGGGCGGGGGAGGCGGCGCTCTGGGCCGCGGCCGCGCTCTCTGTGGCCCTGGCGGACCGCGAAGATGGCGGCGCCCATGGAGGTGGCGCTGGTGTCGGACGCGGCGGGGCCGCTCTGCAACTGCTCGGTCTGGGAGCTGCACTCGGGCTCGGCCCTGCCCGGGTACCGCGGCGGCAACAGCGGCCCACGCGGGCTGGCGCTGCTGGGCGGCGAACACCTGCTGGGGGCCCAGCTCGGCAAGAGCTACATCAACGTCTGGGAGCTCCAGAGGAAGGTACCGGCGCGGCGGGCGGGCCCGGGCGGCCTCGGCTCGGGGGACGCCCCCGGGCCTCGCGGGAGGACTCTGGGCCCCGTGGGGGATGTGACGGGGCCAGCCTTCCTGAGGACCCCCCGGCCCTGTGATGAGGAGCCCCTCCGTCCACAGAGCCCCCTCAAATCCATGGTCAGACCCCCCCATGGCTCCTCTCCACAGAGACCCCCCCCCATGGCTCCTCTCCACAGAGACCCCCCCAGGGCCCCTCTTTTCGTGGAGACTCCCCTCTGTGCTCAGACACCCCAGTTCTCTGCAGAGACCCCTATGGCCCCTCTCTCCACAGAGACCCCCCTCCATCCATTCCCACTCCCATCACCACAGGCAGGTGTGCCCCATCCCTCTCTTCACAGAGACCCCCACAGAGATCCCCCTGAGCCCCCGTGTCGGGGGGCCCTGCTTGCAGCCCCTTGCCCTCTGTGAGCCCTTGCTGTGCTCTCTCTGTCCCAGGACCAGCTGCAGCAGAAGATCATCTGTCCCGGGCCTGTGACCTGCCTGACAGCCTCTCCCAACGGGCTCTACATCCTGGCAGGGGTTGCTGAGAGCATCTACCTGTGGGAGGTACGGGGTGCTGGGGCACTTGGGACCCTGCAGACTCACACCCTGCACAGTCAGGGAGGGTCCCCATCCCTCAAATGTCTGTAAATCCTGATCCTGGGGTAAAGGCTGTGCTGCCCGCAGCCTGTGGGGCAGCTCATTGAAGTAGGAGTGGGAGGAATTCAGGGAGAGGCTTCACTCTGCCTCCTTCTCCTCTTTCCAGGCATCTCTGATGCCTCAGGGGTCAGGCATTGCTCCCACCAGGCAGCAGCTCAGGGCCTGGTTTTCCTTCAGTGATTCTCCCACTTTTCAGCTGTGTATTTGTGTGTGCCCAGGGTGCCAGCAGCCCCTGCTGTGCTCTGGTCATTGTCCTGCTGGTTAATTACTGCTGGATTAACTTGGGATTACGCTGCGTTCCCAGCACACCACTGAGCAAATAAAAGCAGTATCTTGTCCTGAGCCCAGGATTAAACCCCAGGATGTCTCACCTGGAGAGCTCCCCGTGCCAGGGGAGGTTTGAGCCTCTCAGTGTGGGTGGCTCTACCTGAACCCATCTGGGTTTGTTTGTACCAGTGTGATTGTAGCTGGAAAAAAATCCCTGAGGCTGAGCCTGCAGTGGGAGCTGCTGCCTGTGATGCTCCCACCTGGGCCCTGCTCCAGCTCCTGTCACCCAGATGTGTTCCAGAGTATGGCACTGTCCCTCTGGCACATTGGAGAGGCTCCATGGAAACCATCATGGAGCTGGAACCAGCCCCTAGAGCTGGGTTTTGTGCTGTCTGTGAAACCCCTTGAACTGAGGTTTGGTTTGATTTTTTGGTGTAATTCAGATCATGAGAAGAAGCAAACTCTTATTTTATTTGAGGCTTTTTCTCTTCTTGGTTCCCTCCCCATCTGTACTGTTGCCTTTTAAGAAGAAATGCTCCAGGCTTGGGGAATTCCTTGTCCACCCTAAAGCCTGTGCTGGCCCAGGACCACGAGCCACCCCTGGGGTGTCCTGCAGTGTCATAACCCCACTGCCACCTCCTGAGGACCTGTGGGAGCAGGGAAGAAGTGATATGAATATTAAGAGTGAACAAGAAATCTTTACTGCACACTTGTGACTTGACCAGAGGAGCAGCTCTGGCCTCACTGGGTTCCAGTTTAATGTGCCAGGACCTCTTCCAGCCGTGTGCTGAATTTCCCTGTGGCCCTGAGTGCAGGCTGTTGCTCCAGCTGTACCTCAGTGGTGTCACTCACTGTCCTGAGGTGCCAACAGGCTCGTGTGGGCAACAGAACCCACCCTTCTCCCCTCACTGCACCAAGGGCAGGGCAGCACGTGATCCCAAGACATCCCTGACTCCCTCCTGGCCTTCCCCTCACTCCAGGTGTCCAACGGGAACCTCCTCGCCATCCTGAACCGACACTACCAGGACCTCACGTGCCTCTGCTTCACTGATGACAGCAGCCACTTCCTCTCAGGGGCCAAGGACTGCCTGGCCCTGGTGTGGAACCTCTACAAGTAAGGGGGGCTGGGGGGCACAGGGATTTTGGAGCAGGAGATCCCTCTGAGCCCGCAGCTGTGTCTGTGCCCTCCTTGCAGGCAGGGAGCTTTTCCTTGGGGTCTCACCTGGGCTTCTTGGGAGCAGGCAGATGGTTCTGAATTCTTTCCATGGGTGACACAGAGGGGACTGTGCCCTTTACCCAGGGTCTTTGTCCCTGTGGGATAAGGATCTCCGCCTCGGTATCCGTGTGCCATGGCTGTCAGCAGCCATGTCCCACCTGGTCCCTGCAGCCAGGAGAGGCGTTCCCAGTGGGATCAGAGCCTGGCCCAGCTCCCCATGAGGCTCTGTCCTGGCTGAGCTGCCTGTCTCTGCTCTCCCCACAGCGTGTTGCAGGCAGAGCCCTCCCAGATCCCTGACCCCCGGCACGTGTGGTCCCGGCACAGCCTCCCCATCACCGACCTGTGCTGTGGCTTCGGAGGGCCCCTGGCACGGGCTGCCACCGCCTCCCTCGACCAGACAGCCAAGGTGAGGCTCATTTCAGACCCTGTGGGGTCACAGCCAGGCTCCTGCCAGGTAGCAGGAAGCTGTCCCTGTCCCCAAGCTGCCCCCAAGCTTTGCTGGGTTGCAGTGGCTTAATTTCTTGGCTGTCTCTGCAATGA